TCGCACCAGACACCCGTGCAAGTAGACAAAGAAAAAAACATGTCAATCTCTAGTTGGTGTATATATACGCTTTTTAAACACAGTTAGCAAGCCACCTTTTGAAGATATATATTGATAATCCCCCTTCCCTCCCTTTTTGATATACTTTTAAAAGACTTAATTTAGATGAATCTATTGGGTTCCGTCAAATTTTAGGTGCTGTAAGGTAGCCATTACTAACATAGCAACTCCCTTTTCACTCTCGCAGTTTACGATAACGCATGTAAGTGGAAAAATAAAGATATAAACAGTGCTTATGATATCTGTAGAATTCGTAAATGTTAACCAATGCTGTATTAGTGAAGGTAATGAGAGTTGTCTTTGTTCATTGTTATTTTATTGTTTTCCTTTCTTTTTTTTAATTTTTTCGGTTGATATAAATGGTCCAATTTTTTATATATATATCAAATATTCAGCCAGTTGAAAAAAAATGGATCCTCCCACCTTTATGTCACTTCTCAGCTTTCAAAATAGTCGAACTTGAAAAAGAAAAGAAAATACCTCCGTAATCCCACACTCTCCGTCCAGACACTGACGCAGGATCTATATATACAGGGTCGTCGAGGAGCGCCAGGACTGCGCGAGGGATACAGGCTTATGACGTCAGTTTCTGTTCCTGTTTTCGACCGCAAGAAAACCTCAGTAAGTACAATCACAGTAATGTTAAGAGTTTTGTATTGCGTTTTTGTATTTTGTAATCATTGTCATTTTCCTAATTATCGTGGATGAAAGTTGATAATCATTGGTTAACTGAACCATTGTTGTTATTTATCATCATGACCCCTTTAGCTAATGGATGATTTGAAAACCAATTTCAGTATTATTCACTTACACATAACAGTTGTCAGGTATCACTAAAATCTTTGATCAATTTGATAATTAAATGACTGATTTCAGCCATAGATGGTATTTTGCATGGATGTGTGGTATGTAAGAGAACATTTATATATTTGTAATACGACTAACGTTACCAGTATTCTTTGTAGGTTCAGTATTGTAAGTTAATAAATTCAAACTAAACAGATCTCACTGGTATAGGTTTATAGTGTTAAAATGTGTAGCACATGATGTTAGTATACATGGTGCATATGTGATCAGGGACCCTGGCTATAAACTATATTTGTACAGATTCAAAATTATTATAATATAAATATATAATGCATAATGTAAGGCCAGTCATGTATGAAACATGATGAAAGGTGTATACATGTGGTATGAATCGATTTCGGATTTTATAATTCATAATCATATAGATTTATGATATTACAGAATCATGTATATAGTGACATGTACAGCACGTAAATTGTTTTTAATTTCGCTGTTGCATAACTATTCCCCGAATTTTGGTTAGCTTTACATTTTGATATAGTTCTTTCTTACGTCATTCTTTTCATCTATATATCTGTTTTTATGTATGATAGTCAAAAGAATTCTTGACCACATCATGCATAGCGAACTTCATACGACCTCACATTAACCTAATTTCAGTCCATCTTTGGCTTAATCCATTTTCCTTTAACAGAAAATGCGAAACTACTATTTTACACAGTATTGCGGCACCAGTATATGGAGAAGTGCAGACATTTGCATAGCACTTAGCACTCACTATTCTTGAAACGGTGCAAATGTGTATTTTTGCATATGTATATAAGTCTTTTTCGTGTGCGTGCGATCACACGCGCAATACTTTTTTTTCTAGCTGCCTCAACACCCTTTGCTGGTTCTCTTTACGTATTGTTTTTTTTCTTTGGCTTATTATCCTATATTTTGATACACTGTTTACGTTTGATGATTATTGTACATTTATGAACACAAGTACAAGCATGTATAAATTGTTATGTACATACAGCACACATACACATACACACACGCGCGCGCGTACACACACAGACACACACACACACACACACACACACATACATACATATATATATATATATATATATACGTATATATATTATATATATATATATATATATAATATATATATATATATATATATATATATAGTATATATATATATATATATATGAATATATACCCATACACATACACACACACGCACACACGCACACACGCACACACACGCAACACACACACACACACACACACACACACACACACACACACACACCACACACACACACACACACACACACACACACACACACACACACACACACACACACATGTATGTATGTGTATATGTATGTATGTATATGTGTATGTATGTATGTGTATGTATGTATGTATATGCATATGTATGTATGTATGTATGTATGCATATGTATGTATGTATGTATGTATATGCATATGTATGTATGTATGTATATGCGTATGTATGTATGTATATGCATATGTATGTATGTATGTATGTATATGCATACTATGTATGTATATGAATATAGACATGTGTGTGTATATGTATATATATATATATATATATATATATATATATATATATATATAATGTGCGTGTGTGTGTGTGTGTGTGTGTGTGTGCGTGTGTGTCAATATGCATACAGACGAAAAAAAACCCCAACAACACCACATCTAAAACGACGACTAACGGCCCCTGATATATCTTGTGATGATGTGATTGTGTAGCGCCCTATACCCCAAAATAGACTTTCCAGACCTGCCCTCCCCCCCCCCCCACCAACCCCCCCCCCCCCAATATTTTATCTATCTATTTAACTTTCTGACTCTATTTTCGACACCTTCAGAACATCACCGAGAGAGTTTTGATCAATGAGGCCGTTTGGGAAAAGAGGAAGAGAGAGGTACTAAGAAAACTGTCTCTAGATTGCCCAATAGAGTACAATGTATTTACTCTGCAAGTCTTAGATATATCTCTTAGAGAGCGAGAGAGCGAGAGCGAGAGAGAGAGATCTATATATAAAAATTTTAAAAAGTTGCAGTGGAGAGTAGTATGTTTAGAGTATAGTACAGAAATAAAGAACTTTAAAAAAAACATAGATCAATGCCATGGAGATTTGAGGTATTACTGTTTTTTTCCTTAACATTTGGGAGCAGTGTATGTAAGATTAGCAAGTGGAGAGAACTGCTCGTTGTTTACATAGACTGACTTGCGAATTAGTTGACAGCTTAGACCATTAATTAATGACCCGCCAATTCTTCTCGGAACCGGAGTCTGTGACTTTTTAGACTGTCTGTAGTTTTATCCATTAGTGGTCACACAAGAACCAAGAGACAAGTAGAAAAATAGCTTTTTTTAACCATAGCTGCTTTAAGTAATAGAACGTTGTGGATATTTGTGATGTAGAAACTTTGGGTACTCAGTAAAAAGATATATATACGATTTGTTAGTTGGTCGTGTAGAGCATTTTCATAAATTGAAAATACATCATTCTGTATTTTTTTCTATACTGTATTATTATTTGTTGGTTGGTTGAGCAACATCTTGCTGGTTTAATGCCTCTCCTGCGACTGTTTGAGCGAAAACGAGAGCTCAAGACGTCTGTATAACCCGTTGCCGTTTCTTTTCCTAGTGGTCAAATCTAAATAGTTTGGGCTCGAATATCGCTCAAAGAGTCATCATTGCACTGTCGTTTGTCCTTTTTTTCTCTCAAATTTAGGACTAATGAATAAACGGGGGAGTAAATTAATTTGATAAGGGATCACTGTTTATCAAAGTCACCCCATATTGCAGTCATGAAAAAAAAAAACATTGAGATATCACTTTTAATCGAAGTTCTGTAAATATCTTATCGTTTAATTTCCTTCACAATGAATTATAATTAAGTTAATGCTCTGTATCTTCTTTTTTATTCCTTTATTTGAAAAAAAACTTCTTTAAGCCCTGATTTCTTTACAAATATTTCCACTTATTTGCATTCTTGTTTTTTGGAGCTACCAATTAAACCCTTTTCTGTGTAAAAATAATTTGGAATGTGTCCACCTTACGTAGATCGCACGAGCCTGCAAGTTTAACACAGATGAATATTATTTTTTGATCTAGATAACACACTAACACCTCTAGATATTATACAGCGCAAACTACCCTCTTTTTGTGAATTATGGAGATGCCAGTGTATATACTCATAGGTAGTTGACCATGATGATTTATTTTTTCTTTCTTACATGTTTTCCTTCACCTTCTCTTTTCATTTGTCACATCGTGATTCACGCAATATTATTTTTCTTCTTTCTTTTGCCTTTAGCATGACATCAAGTTCTATTCAGTACTGTATTTCTTTTATTCCTTATCAGCCATTTAATGCTTTCATATTTTCCAGTATGCTTTAAAAAAAAACAAAAAGAAGAGAGAGAGACACTTTTTTTTCATTTTCAAGTCCAAAAGATCACGTCTGTAACAGGTTCTTCCAAAAGCATTTTACCGTACTTCTTCCCAGGTGAGGACTGCTAACTTGCTCGGCGTGGCTGGCACGGACGTTCCTATCCGGGAGATTGAGAAGCTGGTGCCTCCGTACAAGGTAATTTGGTGGTTATTTATTGATTTATTTGTTTGTTTGTTTCGATATGTTTTTCTTTTTTTTGTTTGTTTGTTTTTTTCTCTCTTTTCTCAGGTTTTTGTCTTTCTCTTTCTTTTTTTCTCTTTCTTTCTCTTTCTCTTTCTCTTTCTCTCTCTCTCTCTCTCTTCTCTCTCTCTCTTCTCTCTCTCTCTCTCTCTCTCTCTCTCTCTCTCTCTCTCTCTCTCTCTCTTTCTCTTCACCTTTTTTATATATCTTCCATTCATTTCCTTTGATATTCACAATAATTTTCCTCCAGATGGAATAAACAATTCTAATGTTTAGTTAAAAGATAAAGAAAATATGTACCACATTAGTAATTTGTTAATTTATATACGAAATAGAATAGCTTTTTTTCTTAAATCTACGGATGTGGGAAGTACAATTTCACTTACAATTTTTTGAGCATTTTTTGTCTTTTTTTTTTTTTTCATCAGAATTTGTATAGATCCAGTTTCATTATATGGATTTAAATGATGATATGAACATTATCATCATTATTATCTGAATATTATAACTTTATTTTTTATACTTGAAATTGTAAAAATAAAATTTTATATGGATACTATGAACATTATCGCTGGAAATTAGTTTTGTTTTTATGTTAAGTACTTTTTTTGTTGATGAAAATGTGTATGTACATTGTCTGTCTATTTGTCTGTCTATCTGTTTATCTATCTTTATATTTATGTATCTTTTGGATTATCTGTTTATTCATCCATCTACTTAATTACTTCTCTATTTATCTATTTGATTATCTATCAGCTTACGCATATTGTCTGTCTATCCATCTTTGTTTCATTATTTGTCTTATTCAATTTTATGTCTATTTTTTCTATATCAGTTGAATTATTTATCTGTTTACCTACTTATTCGATCATCTGTCTATCAACCTATATAATTATTTACCCATTTCTCTATCTATTTATATATCTGTCTATTCGCTTATCTATTCTGTCATTTCTTTCTTTTTCTTTTTTTTTATCTGCCTATTAAACTATCTCTCTATTTCATTGTCTCTCTATTTATCTATGTATTTAATTGTCTCCATTTATCTATCTATTTCATTGTCACTCTATTTATCTATCTATTTAATCTAGTAATGTCTCTATTTATCTATCTATTTAATTGTCTCTATTTATCTATCTATTTAATCGTCTCTCTATTTATTTGTCTAATTATTCGTCTCTTCAACTATGTAATTATCTATCAGGTGCCCCATCTATCTACCTGTGTGTAACTTCACTGGTCTGTGTTTCAGCTCGGTGTCAATGGTTACTCTTTTATGGTAAACAAAAATGGCTACGTATTGTATCATCCAGACCTTCGGCCGGTGGTAAGTCCCTCTTCGTAGTCTTCCTGTTGTTATTTTAGTTCACCTTTGGCCTCCTATAAACCAATTTTTTCTGCTCCTCCTTTTTTTAAAGAGAGAGAAAACCGAGGCGTAGGTCTTTTTAGCCCAAATGACAGATTTAAATGCAGAAGCCCATTTTAGATTGACAGCCACGATCAAGTGGGTATTTTTTAGCCTAGCTTTTGACTCCTACATTTTATATAAGTTACGATGCCTTTCCCTAGCTATTTTGTCCTCCAGTATTTTGTAGGCATATAGGCTATTTACAAGCCCTATTAGTCAGTCATGCAGTCTCATTAATTTATGTTTTAGAAATACTAAGATTTAGAGGTTTCGTCCTGGATAATCATCAATTTTTTTGTACTTTCTTTTGGATTCCCTTTCTATTTTCTGTCACTTTTCTGTCCTTGTTTTCCCCCCTAGCACGAAGAAGCAAATGCTGAGGTACTGAGGAAGTCTCGAGATAAGCGTAAATGGGTAACATCTATTATTTCCTCTCCATGTAGGCACGGCATAATCAAAATGCGTCTCGGGGCAGAAGTACCCAGACCATGTTCTCTATGTTTGTGGCGATGTTTAGATCAGTTACTAAGGGTGTGACACTATTGTATCCTCTTTATTTCCTCACGGAGACCCCTTTTCATCAACCACTTGCCTCCACGACCATCACCGTTGCCACTTTGGACTCCCCTCTCCCCTCCCTCGACCTCCCTCCCCACCCACCCCCACTGCCCTCCCTTTGTAAACCTTCCCTTAACCCCCTTAGTCTATAACTGCCCTCCCTCCCTCCCTTAGTAGGCTAGCCCCTCCTCCCCTTTTCCCTTCACTTCTCCAGGCACTTTCCCTCCGCCTGCTTGCTTGGGTGTAGACTGACCCGACCGTAGAGCTCAACTAATTTTTGAAAACCGAACGACTGTGACTCCAACGACTTCTCTTTGGTCGGTGTTAAAGAGAGAAAGACAAAAAAAAAATAGAATGTTTAAACATAAGACAAAAAAAAAAGAAATAAAAAAGGAATGTTTAAGGAATAAACATGTTTTTTTGCGCATTCAGGATAAGCTTCTATGTTGGTCTCTGGTGTCACAGTCGTTGGAAGTAATCTGACCCTCACCCTAATACCACAGCAGTCACGGCATAAAAAAAAAAAAAAAAAATACTTTCTTTGTTCCCTAAATCTAGAATGTGATTTACCCTCAAACCTCCTGAGAATGTACTCCTCCCCCGTCTTTTTTAGAGATCCTGACTAAGAAAATATCTTCACTTCTGTAGTAAATGGTTTTAAACAGTGTCTTTAGCAAAAAAAAAAAAAAAAAAAAAAAAAAAGCCCCTTTGTGTCCGTGTCATACTGTCTATCCGCCTGTTTTACCTCGCACCCCCCCCCTTCCACCCTATCTCACGAACCCCTCGAAAGAAAATTAACCCCTCACCCCTCACAAACCCCCTTTCTCCCCCCCCCCCTCCCCCTTACCCTCACACGTGTGCGAAACTCACGTAGTCAAACTAAAAAAAAAAATATCTAGAGGAACAAACTCACCAAGTTCTCTCTAAGTCCCCCCCCCCCCTTGTCATGTACTCACCCTTAACCCTGTGTGTTCAAAAATGATAATGTATCCTTGTGTTATATGGTTTCTATGGTTGTCACACTCTTGGTCCATTTTAGCGGTCTTTCTTTAGTATAGAGGTTAGTGAACCTTCTCGTCCTCATCCTATATAAATGCCCTGCCACATGAGGGGAGATGAAAGCACAGACAGAGACCACCTCTTAATGGTTCTACGGTAACATATAAGTGTTGTGTGGTGTTTAGGAGAAAAAAATCAGTGGACGTGAATATAATTGTTATTGTAAATTTGTATTATGATTTATTGAAATTATTGGTAGCTTATTATCTGCCGTAAATTCGTTGTTGTCTTTTAAAGTTGTGTTTTTTATTTTTTTTCTGTTTATTTTGATCTTCGCTTGTCCTTATACTCATCCTCCCTCCCTCCGTTCTCTTTTTGGCTTGTGTGTATCAGATTTACGTAAATTACAAACTCCGATTTTCAGAATAAACCAAAAAGACCAAACACCTCCACCCCCTTATTAAATCTATGTACGTATAGCTTCCGTTGTTTAAAATCGTCGTAGTTATCTTTAAAAAAAAAAAAAAAATGGATGTTCTCAGTCTCGCTTCCCGCCACTGGAATCTCATTGCCAGATTTCGCTTTAAGGAACCATTAACAGGTGATCTCCGACGTGTCAGCTGCATGATATTGAACGTCACCACGACAATAACATTTGGTTTTGATGTTATATTGTTTTGTTTTATTTTCTGACACAATCATGGTTAGAATTAATTTCCACAGTCTTCCACAGGTGTTTTCACTAACGTTTTTTTTTTTTTTTTTTTTTTGTCTTGTTTTCGTTCTAATGTTTGGAATTGCTGTTGTTAATTTTTTTTCTTTTGGTTTTCAATTAACCGTAGCATGGCATAGTCTTTTCATCACTGATAAAGAAAAAAAAGTAATGATAATTTTGCTAAATATATTTTTTATCAGTTGAGACGAAAACTAACTCACTTCGTAACTGTGTTTGTTTGTTTGTTTTTTTCTCTCTCGACCTAATATCGGAACATATATGGCCATTTTTGTCTCTAACATACAGAAGTAATTTGCTGATATACATACATGGCCAATTTTTTAAAAAATCATTTACGTACATGGCCATTTTTTAATAATTTACGTACGTTACCCTTTTTTTTATTGATTTCTCAATTAATGCCATTGATACGGTGTTTTTTTTTTGTGAAACCTTTTTTTTCCATTAATAAAAAGAAAATACTGACTGGATTTTAAAAGATTTTGAATGTTATATGTTTATATAACATAACACATTTTTTTCTTTTTTGAAAATATTTTATATATATATTTCCACCAAAATAACCATCAACAGAAGACATTTTTGTAATTATCTTACATTGCTTCTGGGCTTTGCTTCTGAAGCATCACTTTTTTTTTTTTTTTTTTTTTTTTTTGGTGAGAGGCAATTGATATTATGATTATGATAAAAGTGAGAATTGTATTCAAGAGGAAAATCATCCATTTTGTAAAGTTTTTTCTTAGCTGTTATTGTTTTTTTGTTTTTTTTTGTTTAGTCATATTATTTAGACTTTTTTTTAACATATAGTAATTCAATAACTTCGTTTTTTTTATTATTGATTTTGCAGTTGTTTTTATTGTTATCATTAATGATTGTCATTCATTATTTATTTTATCATTATCATTATCATTATTATTATTATTATTATTATTATTATTATTATTATTATTATTATTATTATTATTATTATTATTAACATTATTATCATTATCATTTCATCATTAATACCCCCATCATCATTTTCTTATTTTTATCTTTATTTTCATTGTTGTTATCATTATCATTATCATCATTTTTGTAATCATTACCAGTATCATTATTATCATTATTTTATCATCATTCCCCATTATCATCAATATTCTATTTATAAACACATTTTACATCACATTTTTTTTTTTTTTTTTTTTATCCTTTTATGGTTATCATTTTCCTAAATATCTATTATCAACACCAATTTATGCTCAGAATCTCCTCTCGCTTTACTCTGCACAAAATATATAATTCAATACTTCATAATTATATATTATTCAATTTATAGTTAGTCTTTTTTTCCCATATTTTTTCGAATATAGATGCCACAACAGAATTTATTACTTAATTAACTTGATGATGATACATAAAGAGGGTTTGTGACTTTGGACTTGGTAATGATCAAAAAATTATCATTGACGATAATGGTATTCTGATAATTGTAATTGTAAAGACAGTAGTAATGTTAATGGTATTAAATGATAGTTGTAACAGAGATAATGACAATTACAAAAATTATGAAGAATGTAGTAATGGTGATGATGAGGATGATGATAATGATAATGACAAAATAGTATTATCTTTCCATTTTATTATTATTATCATTATCATTATGATCCCTCCTGTCGTCATGATTATTTTTGTCATTGTATCTTTCATTCTTTGTTATCGTTATTATAAGCATTGTTCTTATAATAATAATGATGATGACAGCAACAACAATAATACTATTGTTGATGATGATGATGATGATGATAATAATGATGATAATAGCAATAGCTATAACAATGATGAAAATGATAACAATGATAATAATAATAATAATAATAATATAATAATAATATAACAATAATAACAATAATAATAATAAATGAATAATATAATAAATAATAATAATAATAAGAAGAATAATGATGATAATAGTAATGATTATATTTATTATTATCATTATCTTTACTACTGCTACTACTTATACTACTATTACTATTACTGCTACAACAACTATTATTACTACTATTACTGTTACTACTGCTACTATCGTTATCATTATCAACTATATAATTACTATCATCGTCATGATTATCATTACCATACCTTTTATCATTACAACTAGAGCAATAATGATAATGATAAAGATTTCATGTACATAATGAAAATCAATTTAAAGAATTCCAACACAATTAACATAACTTGCAACCTTAAAATAATATTTTTTCTGCATTATGATGATTCAATAATAACAATAGTTGTTTAAATAAAAGATCGTTATTACTAACACAATCTAGACTAGTTTTATCACCAATATTTACTATAATTATCTCTCACAATTTTTTTCCTTATTTTTTTGAATAATCATAGTTTTAGTTCAACTTCTTATTTCGCTTATTATCCTTATCTTTCTTATCATCACCTTATGTATAGAATCATAAGTGATTTACCTAGCATTAAGAAGAAAGAAAGAAAAAAAACGCAAATTTGAAAAAAAAAAATTAATACCATTCATAATACCAATGCCAACGCGTAGCTCTATTTAGCCTGTTCATACTTTGTTTCCTCAGATTTTATTTATATCGTGATCTTGAATGCTGGTGACGTCGCCTCAGTCAGGCTGCTCTTGTTTTGAGATAGATAAATAAATAAATGAATAATTTGTGTGTGTGTATGTGTACTTGTAACCATGTGTGTATGTATATATGTATGTATATATATGTATATGTATAATATATATATATATATATTATGTATATATATATATATATATATATATATATGATAATATATATATAATATATATATATGTATATATATATATATATATATATATATATATATAAACATATATGTATGTATATATGTATATATATTATATATATATGTATATATATATATATATGTATATATATGTATATATATATATATATTATATAATATATATATATATATATATATATATATATATATATATATATATATATATATATGTATATATGTATTATTATGTATGTATGCATGTATATATGTGTATATAGAGATAAGCATATTATATCTATATCTATATATATATATATATATTATATATATATATATATATATATGTATGTATGTATGCATATATATACACACACACATATACGAATACATATACATATACATAAATGTGTGCGTATGTATGTACACACATACGTGCACTTTCTATTTATCTGTTTGTTTATTCATTTATCTGATTATTTCACCCACTCTGTACCCCATCGCTGAGAGACGCTTGTAACACCTACTATGCCCACCACTTCTGCCACCACAAATGTTTTCAGAATCATCTACAAAAAAAAAATGATGATGATGATGATAACGTGTCTCTTTCTCCAGCTGTGTGTTTGTCTGTCTATCTCTCTCACTCTCTCTCTCTCCTTTTTTTTTAATTTAATGGCTATTCTTATATCACTTTGTTCTTCATATTTGCTGCTACAGTATTCTTCAAAAAAAAAAAAAAATACGCCGTTTCTCAGTGTTTTTCATATTTGATTAAAAGCTAATTCCTTTTCGATTCCCTCCCTTCCCCCTTCCCTTTTTTCCCTCCTTTTCATTCCCTCCTTTCCCTTCTTTTCCCCCCTCTCTCCCTATTTCTACCTCGTCAAATCCCCCTCCCCCCCCTCCCACTAGATCACCCCTAACCCCCCCCCCCCCCTCTAGTACGGGCAAAAATCACCTGCTTATTCTCTCTCTCTCTGTATCTCGTGCTTTTCTCATAATAAAAAAAAAATCATAAAAAAAACGGAGACATTCATAAAACATCTCAGCTCTGTGTACGGATGAAAAATAAAGAAAAAAAAGAGAAAAATTGATTGTTGATAATAAGGAAGATGAAGTGATGGAAGTATGTCTGGACCTAAACAATTTTTTTAATATTTTTTCCCGAACAATTGGTTGGTTTTTGAAGTCCTAAGAATGAAATTTAAAGAAATAAAAGATAACATGATTTACATAAACTATTTATGATTTTTTATTAATTTGTCTTTTTGTTATTGGTATTTCCTTTTGTTTTGTGTCAACTGTGGATTTTAAAGATCAAAAGGACTTTTTTGAGGATCATGTACACAATTATTATTATTAAGAAGATTGATTGGAAAAAAATCCTGCCGATTTATTCAGAAAATGAGTAGAAACAGAGATAAAGACGGCAATAAAAAAGGAAAAGGATGAAGAAGAATGAAAAAAAATAGTTGTTTACATCGTCTGTCTACCTGGAAGCATGGTATATAAACTGTACTGTAAAATTTAGTCATTGAATCCTAGTAACTGTTTGTGTACAATCGTGAGAGCATGTTTGAAACACTTGAAACGTAAACCCTGACGAAGGAAAATTGAAATAAACAAGTGATTATGGTAATATTTCCCCCACCTGTTCTGTGTCCACATGCTCGTACACATTGCCTGCAGAGAGATGTTTTAGTTTGTCCCGTAATTTAATCCGTTTTCTGTGTTAGAATAGCTTATTTTCTACCCAAGTAAAGTGGTGCTGGTATTGGTAAGAATCATTTTTTGGTTCCAATACTGGTATCTTTGAATATATTGGTACCCGGAACAACAGGACCGGTGTCAATATTATAGATAGTCATGGTATAAAATGATTAGCATTGTTTTTTTGTATAGCTTGTTTGAAGAAGTATAGAAGAGCATTAATACTAGAGGTTACTTCATTGCACAGTAAATTTAGTCAAGATCTTTCATGAGTCATTCCCATACCCCCATGAGAATTACCCCCCACACCCATTTAGATCCTTCAACCCCAAATCCCCCCCCCCATATCCCCTGTGAATATCCACCTTCCCTTTTTTTCCCTTATTTTGATTTAACACGAAAAAAATGGCTTTTTCCCCTTTATAACTTTTTTCCTCCCTAATTTTTTTTCTGTTGACTAAGGAAAACTTTTTTTTTTATTTTTTAAACAGATGTATGCTGCCTTTCTTGTTTTGAAGTTCTTGTTCACCTTCTTTGACCTAAAACCGATCTCCCTTGACAAGCGCACCCATGTGTTCTAATTCCTCTCTCGAGTTCGGTTCTCCTCCTCCCCTCCCCATCTTTTTATTTCTCTCTTTCGCTCTTTCATTTTCGCTTTCTTGCTCTCTCTCTTGGTTTCTGACTTTTTTTCTTATTCTCTGATTCTTGTTCTTGCTTGTGTTCTCTTTCTCTCTCTCTCTCTCTCTCTCTCTCTCTCTCTCTCTCTCTCTCTCTCTCTCTCTCTCTCTCTCTCTCTCTCTCTCTCTCTCTCTCTCTCTGTATCTCACTCTCTATCTACTTCCATCTATCCTCTCTCCCTCACTCACTTTCTCTCAACTCATCATTCTCTCTCTCTCCTCTCTCTCTCTCTCTCTCTCTCTCTCTCTCTCTCTCTCTCTCTCTCTCTCTCTCTCTCTCTCTCTCTCTCTCTCTCTCTCTCTCTCCTTCCCTCCTCCCCCTCTTTCTCTCTCCTTGCTCGACATAGTTCCAAGACATCCTGAAACCCAACTACAATAGCGTCGACTTTGCGGAGGTGGAGCTGATCGACCACGACTCGGGTCCTCGGTCGAACAACTCGGATTTGCTGGAGGTGAGTCGGTCCGAATCCACGTTTGTCTCTTTGGAAATTGAGGTTTTATAATCTCCTTTCATGTTGTTCAATTATTTATGTGTTTTACTGTGTTGTCGTTTCATGTTTGCATATCATTCATGCGAATCGTCCATTTGTTTGATGTTGAATGTTTTATATAATGTTGCCTTTCAACATCTATCGGTATTTTTTCTTTAATATTCATATTTCTTTCATATATCCTCATTTTTATTCACCTTTTTCGTGAATTGGTACCCTTGGCTCGGTCACCGCACATATTACTCACTCATACTATTAGCCTTTACAAATAGCACTTTACAAGCTTTTATACTGAAAAATTATTGAGAATTGCCAATTTCACAAAATTTGGTGCTATTGAGTGTACTAATTTTAAATCTTTTTTATAAGTTAAATGTTATTGGAAAACATTTTCAATTAAATCGTCAGATTATATCGTAATAAGCTTACAGTCTTCAACTTATTGTTATCAATTTAAACATAAACTTCCCTTTTCTATAATATCAAAGCCTGTTTTATTGACAAGAGCCAAAACCATTGTCTCATTATTATTAAGAGTTATTTTCACAACCCACCACAACACTCATAATAATATCATGTGTTATGTCTTATAATCATGCTTTTACTGATGTATGACTGTAGGTTAGAATCTCAATTTTTGATTTCGAGAATTGTATATTTATATTCACATAATAATTTCATTTTGTTTGTTCTTTTGTTTAATTTTATGACATACATGTCTGTTTCCAACATGTCACTTGTCTCTTTTAATTATTTTTTTCTTTTTTTTTCACTGAGCTTCGAAATGTCGAATTCCAAAGTTTCAGCTTCGGAATTCGATGCTTCGAAGCGACCCCGGGAAATAATCTTAGTTCTGTTATTTTATTCTATATTCTTCTATCTCTCCTCTTCTTCCATGATGTGAGAGCAGCTGACAAAGGGGAGAGATTATAGTACCAAGGTATAGCCTAGGCTGCAACGAATGGTGATCTGGACCCCGTGTTTCTCTTGTGTTCACCCTTACTGTTTTGAGCTTTGAATCCGTCCCTTGCATTTACCTTTGGGCGAAATACGCAGGAATTTATTGTTTGCTGTATCATAGACTACATTAACATCAGAAAGATATAGATTTGGCATGAAATTCAAGTAGAATGATAATTGTAGATATGAGATGAGACGGAATTTAAGATGTATCAGAAATTGGTATTGTTTTTTTTATGGAATTCTTGTGTGTTTTCTCTCTCCCACGGGTTGATGCCAAGGTGTAAATAGACCGTGCTCCTATCCCTGTCTTTTTGTTGTTTTACTTTAGTTTTTAGTTTTGGTTTTCGTTTGATCTTGTTCGCTACAAGAGAGACCTCGGAACTGCTCCCTCTTGAGGTAAAAAAAAAAATACATATGCTTTATTTATTATTTTTTAATTATTTATTTTGATTCATTTTTTTATTCCCTACCTCTCCATTTCTCGAACCTTCCCTCCTTCTGAAATTATCTTTATGATTATTATTATTTTTTCATTCATTCAAGGAAGATTGAAATGAATAACGTATTTATGTGGATTTCAATACCATGTTCCCACATTTTTTTTTTTTTCCTTTTGCAAAATTCCTTTTTCGCAACCATAGCAACCATCGTGCATCGAGACGTGACTTTAAAAAAAAAGATAATTATGACCAAAGTTAAATGCTCTACAGGAAGAAGCTCCGCGTTATAATTAAGTTAATAATGAATTCCTTCTCAAGATGGAAGCTATTTTGGAGTTTTCGAAATTTCTTTTTTTTTAGTAATTAATCCCAGTAACTTTGTATTCGCATCATAAAGGGAACTTTATATGATCGATAAAAAAAAATTGGAGTAAATCTTAAAATTTAACGAAATAGAATTTTATTATTTACAGTATCCATTTTATTATTATTATCATTATTATTAAGATCATTATTATTATTATTATTATTATTATTATTATTATTATTATTATTTATTATATTATATTATTATTATTATTATTATTATTATTATTATTATTATTATTATTATTATTATTATTATTTTTCTTTCCTTCAAATCTTTCCCGAACGAATTTCCAAAAATCCACCACCTTTGCTTTTTCTAAGACTCACTAACAACAGGTCCCGCTAATGTGTAGCGTAGCCGAAAAAAAAACCGCTAGATAAGTGTATATTGTCAAACTAACAAACGTAAAGTGTTGATGCCAAACGCTCTGTACTATATGTGTGAGCGTAGGTGTGATTTTACACTGAGGTAGCTTAGAAAATGCGCCTTTATAAAGATCAGATTGGTAATGCTAGTCATCAGTCGCTATCAATAAATAGTATGCTATATCTGTCAATCCGGTGTTAAAACTGGATGTAAAATTGTTAGTATGATTGTAATATTTAGGTGTTTTATGTACTTAATTGTAGTTATCACTGTTTAAATGTTGCTTATATTACGATTTGACTTAGGATGTGAAAATATGTTTATATCAATGAAATATATCAGTTTCATACAGTATTTTGGGGCACATTTAGATCCTATTTTGTATAAGGACTAATATTTATTTTTATTTCCTTTTTTCGTTTTTTTCCCCTTTTTTCTTTTCCCTCCCTTCATCAACAGCGCAGGTTAACCTCATTTCCAAGACGAAAGAGTTATTATTGCCTGTTCCTTGTTTATTCCCTCCTATCTATTGTTCCTTCCCTTCGTTCCTCTCGCAGTCCTTGATAACCACATCATAAAACAAAACTTTAACATGTGTCTTTTCCCCCCTTTCGCATATATCTAAACCCAGCTAAGGACCTGACTATGCGAATATGTAAAATATATATATATCGTTCTATTGTTCATGCATTCAGCTGACGGAATGACTGTGGAATAGTGTTCCAATCACTATTCACAATAACGATGGTGTCTAACTTCTCCCTCTAACTCTAAACTTATCTTCACAGTGAAAGCCGTTGTATGGGAAAAAAATCATATCTTTATCATTAAAAAAAACTACTGTACTAATACGTTCCGTTGAAAAAAAATAATAGACATATTCCTTTTATTTTAAATATCGTAGTTTAGCATTGTACTCATACTAGATTTCTCTCTTTTTCTTCAAATTTCACTTCAATGGTTAGAATGACCGTGTTCCCATAAGTCTTAATCTCACCGGGAATGAGGCATTAATTCGACCTCCCATGACCTTTGCAGCTCCGTCGTGACCTCATCGACCAGCGAGAACACGAGTCAAATTTCTCCGTCAAAATTCATATGGATAACATGGTAAGGAATGTGAAGTCTGTTTTGGATGTTCTATTTTTTCAAGTTCAATTTTTATACTGTAATTTCAATTTTTATGCTTTAATTTTTTGTATTTTGGATGGATGGTGGAGGAATATTGGAAGGTATATGTTAAAAATGTTAATTTCATCTAGTTTATATCTATATATAGTATGAAGTATATTTACACATACAAAAACAAATAAACAAGCACACACACATAAGAACCACACTCACAAACATAACAACATAACAAACACAACCAACACAACCAAACAGACTAACCGACACCCATCTACCACCCTCAAAAAAAAAAAAAAAAAAAAAAAAAAAAAAAAAAACTTCCCACACCCAATATCTAGACTTCCACCCCTTTCACCGCCCACTCCCCCGCCCACAGAAACGTGTCGTGACGCGGCAGCAGCGGTACTTCACTCAGAGGGTAAAAGGAACGCCCTTCAGCTTGGGGATTGCCATGCCTATGGGCTACGGCAAATATAAGGTGTACGGGCAGGTCGAGCTGTCCAGGGCGATTCAGGATCCCAGAGGAGTGAAAGGTAAGGAAGGAAGGAAGGAAAGGGAGAGAAAGGGAGAGAGGAGGGAAAGGAAGAGGGATGGAGGGAAGGGAGAGCGAGGGAAAGGAGGGACGGAGGGAAAGGAAGAGAGGGATGGAGTGAAAGGGAGAGAGGAGGGGGGAGAGAAAGAGGAAGGAAAGGAAGGAGAGAGAGAAGGAGGGAAAGAGAGAAGTGAAAGGTGAGGGACGAGGGATGGAGGAAAGGAAGAGAGAGAGAGAGAGAAGAGAGAAGAGAGAGAGAGAGAGAGAGAGAGAGAGAGAGAGAGAGAGAGAGAGAGAGCAGAGAGAGACAGAGAGAGAGAGAGAGAGAGAGAGAGAGAGAGAGAGAGAGAGAGAGAGACCGAGAGAGAGAGACCGAGAGAGACCGAGAAGGGAAAGAAGAAAGATATCATGACTTCAAACGATTGTCCAGAAGCAACACTGCAGCACCCTGAACTACATATCCTTAAACAATCAATTCTTTAACAAGCCCATCTCTCTTTTCAGTAACGGATTACTTCACCTCTGGGAACTGGTCCATCCACCCCGATTGGTAAGTTGCTTAAATTTCTTTTTTACTTATCTTTAATTAAATAATTTGGAACTTTTCATAGTGAATTGCTCTTAGGTTAGACAAAAAGTTTTGTGAATTGATTTGTATTGTTTTATTAATGACGTAGATTGGTTTGTTCAAAGTTTTCTTTTGTAATTATGTTGTTTTGTTTGTTTGTTTTATTGCTATTATTATTTAAACTGATTTTCTAAAGTGAGTTCGGTCTTTTTCTTCCTTCCAGGGTGTACTGCGAGTACAAGTATGACCAGAACCGCCCTGAGATGACCCCTGAGGAGCTCATGATGGACTTCCTGACCCGTGCCCAGGAGCCCCGCTGGAAGTGGCGTTCCACCCGTACCCGCGCGCCCCCAGAGCCCTCCATGACCAAACCCCAGTGTAAGTACCCCTAACCCCACCCCTCGCCCCCACCCCACCCCAACCCGTTTCCTACACGCCCCCAGAGGCCTGACCACTACTACCACCGCCACCGCCACGACCACCACTACAACCCCCTTTAGAAGGGCTGACCTCAGCACCACCTAGTGTCTAGTCCCCCTCCGGCCCCGCCCCGCCCCCCCCGCGCCCTGCGCCGCCCGCTCACGTCTCCGCGAGGGCAACCTCTCCCGCACAGGCTCACTTGGATTTGTTTGCACTGAGGTTCTGCCCCCACCCACCCTTGAGAGTTTCCCACGTGTCTCTGCCCTCAGACGAGGCTTCCTCCGCTCGAGGCCCCGCGTCCGCTCGGGCCCGCGTGTCGCCCTCGACCTCCGCCGAAGCCACGGTCGACGGCCGAACACGCGCCCGCCGAAGGACGCGGCGCCGCGGGTGGCGCTGGCTTCGGTCTCGCCCGGTGTTGGCTTTCATCTCTTGCTTACCTGAACCACTCACACCTTTGGGACACATGACGGCCGCTCTCGTGGCTCTGTGCCCGCGGAGCTCTCCTCTTCCGTGCTTCGTGTTCTCTTGTTCTTCTCTTTTTGTCTCTTTTGTCTCATTGTTTTTGTCTTCCTTTATTATCTTTCCCCCGGAGATGTTCTGCTTCGGAGGCGCCGCTCAGGGCTTTCCCACTTGTTCCGTTCCGTGAAAACTGCCTTGCATCATCTTCTCCCTCTTCTTTGTTTTTGTTCCTTTGGCTTTTGTCATTCACTTACACACTGTTGCATTCTCTATAAACTTCCAGTGTCTTCCGAATAATACACTCACAAATCTCTCGCCGCTGACAAACGTTCAGTTACTCCTTTTGGAAACTATATTTCGCTGCATGACATTCCAAAAACCACGGATTCGGACACTCCGGATTTCAACCTTTCAGGGGGAAATACATGATATTTACTCTTATAATTATGCGTCATTCCGCCACACCCGATAGGCACCCTGGCTACACTTCCTGACGAGCTTGGTGTGTGTGTGTGTGAATGTTTCAGTATGGATGGATGGATAGATAAAGACATGGATAAGAAAATAAGGCAGAAAATATTGATAGGTGTGTGTGTGTATATATAAACATATATGTATATAAATTTATTTATTTATTTATATATGTATGTATGTTTACATATGTGTGTATATGTATATATATATATATATATATATATATATATATATATATATATATGTGTGTGTGTGTGTGTGTGTGTGTGTGTTGTGTGTGTGTGTGTGTGTGTGTGTGTCTGTATGTGTGTAGTATACATATATATAGATAGATAGATAGATAATAGATAAATAGATATAGATATATACATGTATGCGTGCGTGTGTTTACGTACGAATGTGTGTGAGTCTTTGCATGCATGGCCACACATCACGAGAGACCCAGCCATCTCAACACACGAGCACGCGCGGGCCCCTGTGAAGTAAGAGCAGCCGCAGCGAAGCAAGCACGCGAAGTAAATAAGAAGCACACACGCACAGTACACTCACCCAGGCTTGCTTATGGAGGGAGACGACCCCCCCCCTCGCTCGAACAAAAGTCTCAAGCCTGGCTTCTCTTTCAACACGGACGAGTTTGCTTTGAGATCAGTGTTGGTGATCGCGCTTGCTCTGTCATCAAGATGGCTTGCTGCTGAGAAGGATCAAGGGGCATTTTTTTATCAATTATTTGTTTTATTCATTTATTTATTTCGATCAATATCATTCGGTTATTATTTGATAGATGAAAGTGGATGTAAGGAGAGAGAGAGACAGATTTACAATTGTGCATTGATAGGTAGATAGAAAGATAGATGTATATGTATATACATACACATTTGTATACATGTGTGTGTGTGCATACATATATATATATATGTGTGTGTGTGTGTGTGTGTGGTGTGTGTGTGTAAATATATATACGTATATGTATGTGTATTTATATATATATATATATATATATATATATATATATATATATATATATATATATATACACACACACATAAATATGCATATATATATATATATAGATAGATAGATAGTTATATGTATATATGATATATATATATATATATATATTATGTGTGTGTGTGTGTGTGTGTGTGTGTGTGTGTGTGTGTGTGTGTGTGTGTGTGTGTGTGTGCGCGTGTGTGTGTGTGTGGTGTGTGTGTGTGTGTTGTGTGTGTGTGTGTGTGCATATATATGTATATGAATATGTATATATGTGTGTGTGTATTTATAGTATATATATACGTATATATACATATACATGTATATATGTGGTCTGTGTGCACGAATACATGTATTTATGTGCACACACACGCGCGCATGTATGCGTGCCTGTCATATTATTATTATCATTTATGTTATTGTTCATTTGTTACCATCAGCAGCAGCATTATTACGACTGTAATCATTATTATTATTTTCCAGCTGACATCATTACCATTATACTCTGTTGTGAAGCGATCATTTTGTATCATATGCGCGATCTACACAAATGGTGGGGCAGCGTGCAAAATGTGCATTTTGTGCAAGATGCGTGACTTATGCAGAGTGTGGCTGCGTGTTAAGCGTGTGCGACCTGCGTGTTGCGTGTAAAATGTGTGGGTTGAGCAAATGGCGTGAAGTAGAGCGGTTTTGTTTTGCGTGATAAATATGTGATTTGTGCAAAATAGTGGCCTGTGTGGCGTCGAATGCCTGTGTTGCGTGTGAGGGCTAGACCTACTTGACGTCGGGTGTAGAAGGCAGAAAATTATGCTCACGGGTTAAGGATTCATGATAAACAAATGCAGTGCGTCCACTCTGCAGAAAAAAGAGAAACTGGCATCATATCCCAAACTCTGGAATACTGCGATTCACTAAGTCTCTTTTAAATTGAATATATTTTTTTTCTATTTTCCAAAACTTTTGTACCATTCTTATTGTTTTTTCTTATAATGAACTATCACCAACACTTTATATTCTATCATTTATTATCATTCAAAAGAGTCAGAGTGAATTCGGAGTCTTCCTAAGCTTAGAGTGAGTTGCCAGTTATTCTATTTCTGAGAGCTGACGGACTTTAGTAAATAACACACAACGAAGGGAAGAGCAACGTACAAGGTTTCTTCCTCTTTCCTTCGTTGTATAATTTACTTCACGGTCACGGGTGGATAGGTATGCCATGTCAAACCCCCATATATATTTACACGATACATGAGGTAAGTGTGAGGTGAACGTGGTCGGAAGAGACGAGAAGACAAAGTGAATTCAGAAATTGTTTATTTCATTTCTTGATCTGGGAGTCCATATTCACTGAACATTAAAATCTGATTCATTTGATTTGACTGCGAGCATGGAATAAAACTCCTATATGACATGTGGTCTGGTCTGACTAAAATTGTTGTTGCAGTTTTATCATATATTACCAATTAAGCATGATATTCATGTGTGTTATAGTTTAATGCTAACAAACGGAAGAAAATAACATGATAGAAATTACAGTCTAGGAACATCGGTCAGAATGTCATTGAAGAATATATCAAATAATATTACACTATATATATATATATATATATATATATATATATATATAACATTGAAAATAATTTTTTTTTATTCTCTATAACTACAAGCTGCAATATTGACATTTTGACCGATTCATTACCTGGCGTCGTCGGAAAATTGAAATTAACCAAGTAACTATTCAGTTCCACCAAGACCTTCCAAATTACTTTACATCAGTGCAATCTCTATATATGTGTGTGCATATGTACATATCCATATGTATATATGTACAAACACATATATTGTGCGTGAATGCCTTTCCTTGCAACGCTAAAGCCGACGTGGAGACGCTTTCCGACCACGCCCAGGTAGTCAGGGTAGTTCCAACAGTAGGACTCTGGGCACACGGGACCTTTCCCTTGGGAGCAAACGGAAAACCGAGCCAACGTCGCCGCGAAATACAAGGTTGGCTGTGTGAGAACGGAGTCAATGTTGTCCTGTAGAGTTTGGTCTCACATGTCTCCAGTTTTGTTTGCAACATTGTCCTGCACTAAGTCCATTTTAACGTCGTGAGTGCGTAGAAAGCTTCGCGATTATTTGACTAGAGTAAGCTGCACCTCAGATGATCATTTTATGCCTGATATGATATAGTTCCACAGGTTCAATAGATGCAAACAGCGTACAGAACCAAATAATGGCAAGTAAAACTTTCCCTTACCAAGTTTTGACGTTAGACGGTTATGGTAGTCATTAAACCTTAGACTAGAGTGCTAATATCGTAAACATAGTTTGACTCAGCGACCACTAGTTGCTGTACGGCAAGCCTCTGGTGCTTCTCATAGGGTTATGGTCCCGTATGCCAGCGACATTAGTGCGTGGTTTGTTTATCCTTAGTTAACGCTCATCCCGCCCTTTACCTTCATGCAGACAGCAGTTGGAAACCTGGTGTTGTAGAGAGCGAGAGGAAAGACAGCTATTACTGTAAGTATTAACCCCGCGGGCGCTTGCCTGACTGGGATGGGTGCGTTCGTGTAGCCCACATGTTCGGAGGTCCTGAGTTAAGCAGTCATTTTTGTAAAAAAAAAGATGGACCTGAAAATGGAGAATAAACCATTCCTACTCAAATAGACCTTCAGTCAATTCTAATGTCAATCTCCCTTCAATTCAGTTGCAATTCAAATGCTCCAATGGCTTGAGTGATGATCCTCAACCTCCTACATATACTGCTTTGCGAATGCGCCCAGTTCTTTCTGTCGCCTTAGTTGAAATATTCCGTTGAAACAGAATTATCACGTACAGTGTTTGTATGTGACAGTGTTGTATCTTATCCTCACCACGGAAAGCCTAGTTGACATGACGCAAGGTGCTCTAGCTTCCATTTGCGCCGCCTGAGATACTTGGGTTATCCAGTGAGGAAATAGCCAATCGGAATGTTCTTACTTTTGAATGATAAGGATGATAATGATAAAAAAGAGAACAAATTTCAAATCGATGAATAGTTTGGACCTCAGTGTAAACAGATTTTTTTTAGCCATTCCTGAAAGATGGTAACAGCTGAAGTGAGTCATGTCTTTTACAAACAGTTTGTAGTAAATCCAAGCAATCATTTTGTTGGTTTTCATTTTGTTTTTGCTTGTTTCTTTCTTTTTTATCTTTTATCGTATAAAGTAAAAACATAAAAAGGATCAATATATTCTAATTTTTTGAGATCCTTCAGCAAACAAAAAAAAAAAAAAACAAAACATAGTTACCTCAAATGTCCAATGCTTCTTTTTCATTTTCAAGTCTTTTTTTTTTTTCCTTCATAGAAGAAAAAAAAACACAACCAAGTCTTGGCAACCAAAAATCAAGCTGATCCATCGACCGCCCTAACGTGCTAAGCCCTAACCTGAGTAACTTTTCCTCCAGGCGACAAAGACTTGGTTCAAAGTATGGTCTTTGATGCTCGCGCCACCAACGTGTACACGGAGAGGACCATCGAGGACAAGATAGCGGACGAACAGTAAGTGTTGTTGGTTTCTGGGTCTTAGGGTCTTTGGGGGGCTTGTTAGGGTCGCTTCTTCTGCTGCAGGTGGGCCGGCGCGGGGCTCATAGGGTGAGGGTTTGCCAGGAAGGGAAGGAGGTTGTTGACGGTTTTTTTTCTTGGATAGGGGAATTTCGGGACTTTTTTCTCTTGATAGGGAATTTAGGAACTTTTTTCTTGGATAGGGGAATTTCGAGGGATTTTTTGTTCTTGAATAGGGGAATTTAGGGACTTTTTTTCTTAAATAGGGAATTTCGGGACTTTTTTTTCTTAAATAGGGGAATTTAGGGACTTATTCCTTGAATAAGGAATTTTAGGATTTTTTTCTGTTGAGTGAATTCGGGGTTTTGAATAGGGGAATTTAGGGTCAAGGTTTAGTTTAGGTGAGTTATATTTCGAAGATGTGGAGGTTAGAATAGGTAGGATCTACAAGGTGTACTGAAGCAACACACACACACACACACACACACACACACACACACACACACACACACACACACACACACACCACACACACACACACACACACACACACACACACACACACACACACACACAACACACACACACACGCACACACACACACACACACACACACACACACACACACACACACACACACACACACACACACACACACACACACACACACACGTTTGCAGTATATAATGTAGAGTTAGTAGAGTTAACGGATCTTACCATGCATTAGAACCAGTTTTGAAGAGAAAAACTTGGAATAGGTTAACCAGTTTTCTCGTCATTGTTCCAGTACAATCAAGGTTTAGACAACGCTTGGTTATTCTCGTACATATTGATATATGTTGTTTCTATGTCAACGAAATGGAGTTGGTTAGCAATATATCAAAACACTTTTAAGGTTAGAAGTAGTTACAAGGTTTCTCAAAGGGATACAGTCCTATAATTATTTTTTTATAATATGCACCAAAAAAATAATGTATCACCATGTATGTGATATATATGTATGTATGTATATATATGTGATTCAAAAATTTGTTTTGATATCAGTATGTTCTTATTTTCACTTGAATCTATAAAAAGTTTTGGTAAAATTAAAGCTTCTGTATTAACTTCACTATATAAATAAATTGATTATGTGAAAAAATAAAAATATTAATAAGTATCTTTTGGTAAACCTTGTAAAAAATTAAATATAGGAACACAAACATTTAGATACCTTTAGATACATATAGATATAGAAATGTTATCTATAGATATAGACACTGATATAGGTAGATACTGATGTTTATATGATTCTGTGTTTGTAGTTGTAATAATCTTTTTTTTTTTCGTTGCAATGCACCTTATGGAGTAATTATAAGCTGCACATATATATTTTTTCTAACTGTGTATGACTGGGCTTCTAAATTTCAAACTTTGATAAATGTCATTGAATTTTTAAATACTAATAGTATGTGATAAGGTCTAAATGTTTAATGATGATGAGGATGAAGATAATGCTAATAGTGAGGATACTAATGATGATGATGATGATGATAATGATGATAATGATGACAGTGATAATAAACTAGATGATAATGATGATAATAGTGAAAGAATTCCTGATAGCAATATTCACAATTTTCAGCATACCATAAGTATACTTTTAAATGTGCTTCACACTTTCCAGTACCAGATATTTTGTTTCTTAACGATTTTTTTAAGTATAAAAATCAACGAAAATCACCTCACTTTCAGACCATAATTGCATAGCATTTTCTTCATTCATTTTGTTACTATTTTAACCTAGAGGATAATTTGCCAACGAAGCTCAGTCACGTTTATTTGTTTGTTTGTTTGTTTACTTTTCCTCGTCTTACCAAGCCCCAGGAAGCTCACAAGGATATATTTTCCCTTCCTTTTCACTTCCTCTCCTCCTCCTCCTCTCCTCCTCCTCCTCCTTATCTTTCCTCCTCCTTACCCTCTTCCTTATCCTTCCCTTTCTTCTTTTTCTCTCCTTCTCCTCCTTCATCTTCTTCTTCGTCTCCTTCTTCTTCTTCTTCTCCTTCTCCTCCTCCCCCACTTATTTCCCTTTTCCTCCTCCTTATCCTCCTTATGCTTTCCTGTCTTCTTTCTCTTCTTTTTCTTCTTCTCTCCTCCTCCCCCTCCTCTTCATGCTCCTCCTTATCCTTCCCTTTCTTCTTTCTCTTTTTTCTCCTCCTTCTCGTCTCCTCCTCCTTCTTCTCCCCCCCCATTCCACCTCCTTCCCCCCATTCCCTCCTTCTCCCTCTTCACCCATTTTTTCCTCTCCTCTCCCCCCCCCCTCACCCCCCCTAAAAAAAGCAGTCAACCTCGACCCACGAATTATACTAATTTAACCATTTCCTTGCTCTAGCCCTTTGGAGATGTACTTAGCCCTTATATTCAGGTACAGTATTTGACCAACTGGTAAATTACTAACACGACGTTTCACATTACTAAAGTCTCCCCTTCTCCTGCTCTGCTTGTTTTCTGTGAAGGCAGGTTTGGAAAAAGAAAACGGGAGTATGAGAGAATGTGTTGGAAAAGAAAGAGAAAAAAAATCTCAGTGCATGATTTTTTTTTGTATATAGTAATATTTGCAATTGAAGAAATGGTGTTTCTTACGTTATTGTACAGTCTGTTGCAATAAAGAGTCTGATGGCATTTTACCATCGAGAGAGAGAGAGAGAGCGAGAAAGAAAGAGAGAGAGAGAGAGAGAGTGAGAAAAAAAGAAAGAAAGAGAGAGAGAGCGAGAAAGATAAAGAGAGAGAGAGAGAAACAGAGAGCGAGAAGGAAAGAGAGAGAGAGAGAAGCCAAAACGACCAAGAATCCAACCATCTTTACAAAAAAGAGATGGGTAATATTATTTTTTTTAAATGGAGGTAGCAAATGTCATTCTAAACCACTATGATACTTTGAGGTGCCATGATAAAAAATACTTGAAGTCTTCTAAGTATATATTCTGGTAATTGTTCAATTTATTTTCAAAGGAAAGCTGTCTATAGTCACCATGTATTGTTTTTTTCATGTTAATCAATATACCGAAATGGCCTTATAGGTTGTTAGAATGGTTTTGAGAATGGTACGGCTTGTGTGTGTGTGTGTGTGTGTGTGTGTGTGAGAGAGAGAGAGAGAGAGAGAGAGAGAGAGAGAGAGAAGTAGAGAGAGAGGAGAAGAGAGTGTGTTGTGTGTTGTGTGTGTGTGTGTGTGTGTGTGTGTGTGTGTGTGTGTGTGTGTGTGTGTGTGTGTGTGCGCGCGTGTGTGTATGTGAGTGTCCGAGTGATGTCTACGAATGAAAGAATAAAAAAAAAAAAAAAACGTTTACTAAGATATAAAAACTGTATCAACGCTACTACAATAACAAAGAACATTAATATATATTATAGAATCGTATTGCTTTACTAATTAATAATGACAACTTGAAAAACCAGAATATTCATTCAAACTATTTCTAACAAGACAACAAGACTAATTGTGAAAGCATGTAAAGAGAATCCCGCATTAATATAGAAACTACGATTATTTTAATATTCTCTAAAACGTAGCCTAATGACAGGTGAACGGATTGATGCAGTTTATTATATATTACATTATAATTATCCGGTGTTTATGAAGATTTAGGTTTTGTTTCATATCAAGGTGATTTTAATAGTGAAGAGAAGAGTAGCCTAACTTTTTTTTTATTATTAAGACTTAGGTGTGATTAGATACATGTACTAATCTTTTTCTATAGCAGCATTCTCACCCAATCGTAAGTTTAAACGAAGGTAATATAGTAAAAATTACAGGCAGGCATTTTAGACCATCTTTTAAACAATAATTTCGTTTTTTATTGATAGTTTAACCATTAAGATTATCCCCTAATCCTTAAGAAAAATATATCTGAGTGTCATACCAGCTGGTATAGAGAATCGGAATACCCTGATTGTCATACGCTGGTAGAGAATCGGAATACCTTATAAAGAAATCTGATTGTCATGCCACGCTGGTATAGAGAATCGGAATACCCTTTATAAAGGAATCTGATTGTCATGCCACGCTGGTATAGAGACCCTCAGATTACCAAGATGGCCGTATGACAGCCGACATTCGCCCTTACAGTCGTGGTGGCCAGAATTTCGGAATGACAACAGCTTTTGTGGCGACTCGAAGTGGGCTGACCAGGTGGGTCGACCTCACCAAGTTCAAGCCGGGAATCAGCCCAGAGCCGTCAGATGAACCGTGAGTGTGTTTTGTTGTTTTGTTGTTTTTTTGTTTTTTTAGTCGTTTGTGATTAGGTATATGTCCGGGGGAGGGGGGGGGGGGGTTAGGGGTGAATGGGGGGAGGGGTATGTGTTTGTGTGTGTGTGGTAGGGGGGGTAATGTAGGTTTTTTTAGTCGTTGTTTGTGATCAATTTCATGTCGGGGGGGGGGGGTATGTGTTTGTGTGTATTTGTGTGTGTGTGTGTGTGGGGTGGGGGTGATGTAGGTGTTGGTGAGGGTAGGTGTGTGTGGAAGGTGTGTATGGGTGGGGAGGGTATGTGTGTGTGTGTGTGTGTGTGTGTGTGTGTGTGTGTGTAGGAGTGTATGTGTGTGTCTGTTGCTAGATTTCGTTGACCGGGACACCAGCTGATTTACAACGCGACGAAACCATTTCCCAGCTCACCGACTTCCTAACTTTGACGACAAACACTCTTCTTATTTTGGGGAATCACGATCATACCACCTCATATGGAGAGTTCGGCAACTTAATTGATATTCATTATGGGTTAATAATAGCTCGTTTGTCAGAGCTGCAAAGTCTTCTTTTCGGTAACTTAATTGATATTCATTATGGGTTAATAATAGCTTGTTTGTCAGAGATGCAAAGTCTTCTTCCAGGCAAAGTTGTAGAATATTCGTGGTCTTCTGTCGCGAGAGTTGTTAGTGAGAGATCGCGCAAGAACTTAAATTAAGATTAATTAAAATCGTGACTCTCTAGATGGCGTAAAAGATGTGATGGAGAGAAGGAGAGAGAAGGTGGATGGGAAGAGAGAGAGAGAGAGAGAGATAGAGAGAGAGAGAGAGAGAGAGAGAGTGAAGAGGATAGAGAGAGAAAGAGAGAAGAGGGATAGAGAGAAAAGAGAGAAGAGGGATAGAGATAAAGAGAGAAGAGGGATAGAGATAAAGAGAGAAGAGGGATAGAGAGAAGAAGAGAGAGAGAGAAAGAAAGAAGGGATATAGAGAGAAAGAAGAGAGAAAACGAATATAGAGAGCGAGAGAAGAAAAGAAAGAATTAGAGAGCCAAAACCACCCACAGACAGCGACCGGTTCCGCCCCCTCCCTCCATAACACAACCCCGCCCATTGCAGACACATTATGCAAATCCACAACCGCGCCATCGACGAAGTGTGGTACAAGAGAGCCGTCGACTACTACGAGGAGGACCCGGATGCTTACGTCTACTCCGTTCCCTTCGACGCCGGTGAGTGTTGTTCCCCGTCGGGAGATCTGGGGATTTTTTGGATTTTTTTGATTTTTTTTTTTTTTTTTTTTTTTTTTTTTTTTTTTTTTTTTTTTTTTTTTTTTTTTGCTCCTGCGATTCTAGAAATCGTATCTTTGTGATAGGGTGTGTGTGTGTGTCTGTGTGAGTGAGTGAGTGTGTGTTGTGTGTGTGTGTGTGTGTGTGTGTGTGTGTGTGGTGTGTGTGTGTGTGTGTGTGTGTTTTACTTCGGTTCCTCTGTTTCTAGAAACTTCATATTTCTATCAGAAAGGTGTTAATGATGGTCTACGATATTTGAATAAAGGATAAAAAGATTTATATGTATATAAAATATATATATATATATATATATGTATATATACATATACATACATATATTTACACATACATATACATTATCTATATGTGTGTGCGTGTGCGTGTGTGTGTGTGTGTGTGTGTGTGTGTGTGTGTGTGTGTGTTGTGTGTGAAAAATATTAACAATGTCTTATGACAATTACCATGCAGAATAGACAAGTTTCATTTTCTTGTTCCTTAAATCTTACATCCTCCCTAAACCACATCACACAAGCCGTGATTTCACAAAGCACATCGATGCCAGCAGCAGTGAGTGACGAATCCAGGAAGCGAAAATATCCTCGTGCTAAATCCTCGTTTGTTTGTTTTTTTTACCAACAGCTGCTCAGAATCCGGAAGAAGTTCTCGTAACCGCCACGCGCGCCATCTTTATCGAGGAGAACCGCCATCGCAAGGCACCGGCAGCGGTCGTGGGCGTCACCATCCAACACCAGAAGTTTATTGAATACTTCACGAATGAGACATATAAGGTAAGCTCTTATTTATGTTATGTACACGTGCGCTCGTCCATGTAAACGTACATACCCCCACACTTACACGTATAAACATATACACACATACACACGCACACGCACTCATACTCATACACTCAGAGTAATCTACATAAACATACAGGACATGACAACGATATTTTATAAATTAGAATAGCAATGTAAGATTCTCTCAACTGAAAATAGAAAAAAACAAAGGAAAATTGTACATTATGGTATCTCAGCATGTTTGGAGGGAGAGCAAGGTATATATACCAAAGTTCGTGGACGAATTTTAACCCGAGATCCATTCTTGAACTTTGCATTTATTTTTATCAGATTATTTATGTATTTGTTTATTCTTTTACTGATGTTTCCTATGATCCACAACAAAAATAACTAAGAATTAGCCACCTTATTAACTCACCTAAAAGATGTATGGGATATGGATACAAGCCGATACACAACCGGCTTTTATCATCTTTGTTATAAGAGATATTGCAGAATCGCGTTTCAAATTAATCTTAAGCCATTCCATTACGATAGTTTTGAGATGAGTATTAAGGAAACATACTGGATAGAATGGCATGGGAGTTCTCAATCGAGTCATTAATTAATCCGCCATAAGGGGAGAATGATCACTATCTGACGGGTGGTCTTTAGCGTTTTGGTGCATTTTGAAACCGTAAGATAAGCCTGGCACAGTCAAATGATATGCAAGTTCTTCTGATACAAGAAGGCTACATCATAGTCAGTCACAGTTTTTATATAAGAAAAGTATAACATAACTGGTGTTTTATATCAGGGTTTAAGAATAAAAACAGTTGTAGATTCAGGGCTTAGGGAAGGGAGAAGGGGGTGGGGGTCTGTTTGGCAATATATGGCATGCCTAATTTGTAAGTTATGATCATTTTACAAGAATCTTTTTTGGGGCATCCTCCAAACATGTACCGTTAATTACGAACAATGCTCTGAAACTAGAATGTCTAAGCTTTAAGTGTGACTGTATCATATAATGAACAGGTTTTGAGAATTTCCCTTTAGTAATGTGTATTTACAATCTAGGGCTACAGGGATGTCTATTTGATATTATGATAGTGTAATTAGCATTGTATGACTTACAAGGGCTCTTCAACTTAACTAGACATGTGCTCCTAATTATATTACGTCAAATCCATTAATGAGATATGAGGCACATTTCTAATGGTCAAGATTTAATTATGATTGGCTTTAAAGTCTCCTAAGAATTGAGACCAATCACGTCAGTTTCTGCATAACTAGAAAATCCAAAGTTTGCTAATCAGTTTATTAAGTGATGTTGAAATGCATTGTGTTTGTGTTTTGATATGTGTTTCTTTGTATGGTTTCAAGACAAAGAAGGCGGTAAGACATTTATGTGAACTGGTTGTAGAACTAGTTTTTAAGTAGACGTTGGTTTGAATTTGAAAAATAATTTTAAAATGTACTATGTGGTGTAGATCAGGAAGATGAGTAAGAGCATTATAATAGTGAATATAAAAAAATTATGGATTGATACTGATTTATAAATAAAGAAGGTAGTATAATGCAGTACATAATATTAAGTATTTATCTGGGACATTTTTAAGTATCACTTAGCTGCTATCAGTAATCGTTGATATTTTGGTAGCAGAATTCCAAAAGGAATATGTGTACAGTCCAAATGTAAAGTGCTGTTGTGCTTGCCAGTTCCTTGGCTTTTGCTTTCAAAAGATATTTTACATTCTTATTAGTAGTTGAAGGCTCACATTGATGCTATAATTTGCTATGTAATGTACTGATAGTGAAAAGACTGGTGATGCATTTATGATGTACTTATAGAGAGAAAAGGGAGATGTGGTAAACAAAAGATGTGAGATAAAAACTGAAAGAAAATGCTTAAGAAAGATATATGAGTTATCACCCCATTTTCTACAATAAACTAATCCTTAACCATTATACCAACAGTGTCCTTCATATCCCTCAAGAGATTCAAGTTGCAAGAACGCAAAAACCTGTGAGAGTGTATATCTTGACTGTTACCTCCTCGATGACAATGGTT